TTTCATTCTCACAAAGAAAAAAATAACATGATGGCCTTAGAGATGTATAATATTATGAAGCTCAAAAACGTAGTAAAAACAATGGTTCCCTGGAGTTTTGCAGAGGAACAGAGAAAACAAAGGTTGGTTTTTTTGGATGTGACACCTTTCTTGTTTTTGTTGCAGCTTTTTCATTGTAAGGGATGTGTACAAGCCTGGTGCATTAGTCTGATGTTGGGAAAGAACATGTACTTACAGAAATGTCTGACAGATGGGAAGTGCCCGGGGGATCTGGGGTCAGAGGATAACTGATTGCTCATACATTATCTAGTAAAGTAAATAAATAACTGACATTTTAGTCTCTGAAAAATCAGTGAAAAACCCACAGCTTGCCTGCTTTGGACAATATATGGATTCCTGAACACAACTGCTCAGAGATGGAATTGCATGATCTTTCTATTAGGAAATAAAATATTGATCGCTGCCAAATTTTAACTATTGCACGCAAGTTGGAAACTATGAAAAGCACAAGCAGTATAGATTTTTACACAGTAAACAATACATTAAATTTCTGGAAAGAAAAATGGTACATTTGGATTACATGACAATTTGGAAATACAAGAATTTGGAAGTTTCTTATTTCTTACAGAACATCTATGAAACCTACATAAAAATGTTTCACAGGGAAGCACTCTATTCAAATGGATAACAAAAGAAAATGTATGCTAGCTAGATGACCATTTCCATTCTTAAAAACAATTAAAATCCTTACTGCAAGCCATACCAAACATTCCAAGGGCTGGGCTATGACTTGAAGTTACAAGAGCAGTTCACAATCATAGGTGAAGAATAAACTCTTGACTGTATGTACTTGAATGGAACTGGAAACACTTTCTGTGCTTTTCTTTCAGTTCCCTTTGGATTTTCTCCTCCTATGACCCTCTAGGAGCAGAGGTGACAAGACCTGTGTGTTCAAGCACTCTACATAACATCTGTGAGCTGAGGAGAAGAGAAGGGGGTGGGTTTCACACCATTCCTTGGGCAGTGCTGTGCTGCCCTTATCAAAGGACATGGGATGCAGTTCCCATTTGATAGCAAAATAAGAAAAATCGGAGTTTTCTGGATATGAAAGAATAGCTGCTGCCCACTCTAGCTGCAGGCCCAGCTTTTCCTTCAAAAGCTGCCTGCTAGATCCTTCTTTAGTCATGCTAACACCATTTATTAAATGAGGGCTTGGTGAGGCATGGTAAAGCTCTAATATGTTGTTATGGGTTTTATCTTTTTCCACTGAACATCTGACATCCATGATATGTAGGTTTGAGGGAATAACTCAATTTTTAAGTCAGATTCCCAGCTGGGTTCTCATGTATGAAAAGGACATTACCTTCACATCTTAAACCTGTGAGTTCATGCTGATAGTTTCTTACCCTGAGACAATGGTACTGCTGAATTGTTACTGAGTGTCCCCACAACACCACGAAGTAACCAATGTTTGCTTGCTGAAGACCAGGCTCAGAAATTTGTGGCTGTTTTTACCTCACATCTTCTAGGATGTGGCTGCGCTGAGACCATGCAACAGCCTGTGTACAATTCAGAGATTAAACATAATCCTCTGCTTTCCTCATCTCTCCAAAAATACTTTGCCCTGGAAACTCCTGCTGGGGTGACTCATCTGTATCAGAGGATACAAGAGTGGCTCTGTTGCAATGCCCAGGGGTTTTTTCTCCTTAAGTGTGTGATATGATTTTTGTCCTTGAAATTTGTGGAAAGAAAAGATTGCTGACCCAGTTCACATCATGTCAATGTCTAAGCATCCCATTGTCCATGACTCAGAAGCTGGTTTTTTACTGAAGATAAGCTACTAGTAACTCCAGGTTATCATTATTTATTGTAATTCTGGTGGCTTATGGGAAAACTGAGTGAGTTACAGTTCAAGTATGTTGTCAACAAGTTTCTTTATATAAATACAATACAGATAATAAATAAATAAATATAATAAATAAATACAATAGCTGAGTAGTGGCATACCAGAATTTATATAGAGGTTATTCTGCTCCATTTCAAAGTGTGGGGCTTTCCCACACAGCACTTACCACGGACAACTTTAAGAAAAAATAATAAAACTGTCATATTCTTCTCTATAATATATAATTCCACCTGTCCATTTCAAAGGAAATATAGGCTTTATGCATGCTGTGAAAAGATTTGTAGCCTGAAAACCTTCAGGCTATATATTGAGCTGAAAAACTTTTAAGATACTTTTAGCTGCATATGTAATTATTAATGTATAGATATAATTCTAGAAAATACAGTGAAAAAAGTCATACTAATTTCAGATGCAGAAATAATCAAGTGAGAGAGTAGTTCTATCAATGTCAGTGTGACTTTTCATGTAAAAATCATACTAATTCCAGATGCAAAAATAATCAAGTGAGAGAGTAGTTCTATCAATGTCAGTGTGAATTTTCATGTGAAAATGTAAAACTGAGTCTTCAGTCTTTCTTTCTCTTCTTCAGAAGTACATTCGGCAAGTTGTTGATGAGCATTCTGTAAAAATAAAATGTATTTCAGGGCTAAAATTCAGTATGAATCGTATTTCAAGGTGTCATGAAGATATTTCAAGAGATGGCTGTGACAACATTGTTAACATGTTGATTGTAAAATTAATACCTTCGGAGGAAAAAAAGAAGGAATGTTAAATTTTGACAATTTTTGGTTCATACTATAAATTACCAGAATATCAGAGTTTTACACAGCCTGGTTCACAAAATGAGCAATTTTTAAAATAATTCTGAAAAATAAGCACATAGATTTAAAGGTTGGTTTAAACATAAAGGTTGATCTCTCATCAGCAAAAAAATACTTCAGCTTTGTTAAAGGTATTACAATGTGAAAATGAAATTTTACCAACGTTATTTTTTTAATCCATTGATTTGGCTTAAGTTTTTTAAATGATGAAATTATATCTGGGATTTTTAGCTGTTTGTTTTCCTGGCATTATACTATACCTTTAATTGTCAAGAATAACAAGGAAGAGTAAAGGTTGCAGATAATCTAGTTTATTCTGAGTAAAATATAGCCTGAAGGTGGGTTTATCTTTCAAAGAGGAGGAAGAAGCAACAATTAAATGCTGCTTTCAATTTACTAGGCTGATTAGAAGTAATTCAAGTACTTCAAGTGATGTAAAGCTTTAAATCTATTGATTAAATTTGCATCTTTTAATTTTGAAATGATCATTTATGTGGAGTGTAGCCTAAACTGCAGAATCTTTTACTACTTAAGTATTGATTTTTAATATGCCAAATGTACTCATTAAAATGGATATTTTGTAGATTGCATTTTAAATAATATTTGCTTGCATTTTAACCACTGACATCAATGCTATTTTGCAGAATTTTATAGGTCATCTCATGATATTCCACTAGACAAAGAAAAATAAACAAGCAGAAGAGCAGAAGTAGCTGCTTTCAGTACAGAAGTAATTGAAGAGTGTGGCACGTAACAGAAATGCAGAAAAACTCCAGTTTTGGTTGAATGCAATAGTTCTGGCATTGCATCCAGTCTTTAGTTCATTCCATAGCAGAGAGCCATGAATAAATGGGTTGAATAAACTGACTTCAGGCATTCTGTCCCTCAAACTTGCAGAGCTGTGCTATGTGTTTGACACTTTTTCAACTGGGTTCTTGCTCAGCAGCACCTGTTTGGAGATTCTTCCTGGCAATTTTGGGCACTTTAATCAGTGAGATACACTCTACATCAGTTAATCTTGGAAATTTAGACTGTTTTACTCGGAATAAAGACAGCATAGTAAAATTTTATTTGTATTTGACCTTCTTCACAGATCTTTCATATGCTAAACAATTTGCCTTCTGAAGTTCAATTTCACCTCTCCTTGGAACCAGAGAGGTGAAGTCTATACTTATTTTTTTTTCAGCTGACAGAACACCTTTCAAATTATTTTATATTGATTAAAATGTTGTTATCCTTATGTGAAGAAGTAAGACAGTACAATTGTATCAGCCTTATAGGCAATCAAATATACGTAGCTGCCATTGAACCCAGGGCTCTTCCAAGAGTGATTCCAGTCTTTGGAGGAAAAGAGGCTCTCAAACGATTTTCTAAGTGTGTACAGTAAGTTCTTCAAATATACCTGTCTTTTTCTAGTCCTTTATCCTTATTATAACTGCCTTTTCCAGTCCTTTATCCTGATGCTCAGTGCAGAAACAATAGACCCTTGAAATCTATTATATGGATGTAGCATGTTCCCTATAGACAAGGACAGTTTAAATGAATAAAATATAAATGAAAGCTATATTGCATGAAAAATTAAGAAACCTGTTGCTCACCATTACACAAGGACATAAGAAGAATAGGATCTATAAAAAGGCATAGATCATCTAATGAAAATGAGAGTGGACATTGGCAGTGATCATACTTTGCTAATATTATCTGAAGAATCTTACTGTTATTGAAAGATTTCAATAGGGGACAGAGAATAAAGACATAAGAATAAAGACTATGAGTGGACAAGGAATAATGTTATAAGGAAACACATAGCAATTCACACAGAGAACAGGTAAACAGTAGAGCTTACTGGAAAATTAAAAATGTTCTTTGCTTCTGAGCTGTTTGGTGGTTTGGTGGCAGAGATTTAGATGTCCTAATTTAGTGTAAGATGAATTAAAGTTACTCTAAAGGGCATTCAGCCAAGTAGTCTGAATGTACATGCCTACATTGCTCAGTTCAGTACTTGGCAGATGGAATTATCTCCTGCAGTCCAAACGAATTGAGCAGAGATCCAAGATCACCACTTTTGGGAGAGCTCTGAAATGTGACAGAGAGGGAAAGCTGAGCTTCTGCCTCTTAGCAAAGGCTTTGGACAACATTTCCCTGAGGGGTGGGTGGGCAGGTCCTGGCTGTACCCGTGCATGCTCAGCATCCTTGTGCTGTCCTTTCCAGGGAGGACTTCCAGTGATGCCAGCAATGGGAAGACATGGAAAAGGCCATTTTCTCTTGGAAAATTGCACTAGAGGATTTCAGAATAATCAGGGTGAGTCAGCCAAGGTCCTTCCAGGGGTCACTTTGCCTTGGATGCAGTGGGTCAGATGAGGGCTGGGCTATGCCTTTTCCTCTTTGCAAACCTGGACTTCATAAAATTATACAAGCAAATGGTGAACATGGACATGTTCATGTGACTCTAAAGCCCTGCTTCTATCATTGTACATTCTTAAATTGAGATTCTGTGGTCTTAGGTGGACCTCACTCAATTTTTATGCTCTGTTTAAATGTGGTTTATGTTAAAACAAATGCCAATATAAGTTTTTTTTTGCTGCCAGAAAGCACAAACTGGAGCTTTCTGCCTGAATGAGACTCCAACTTCTTTAATATTTAGCCTGAAATTATTCTTCTTTAATGAAAGGGTTTGGTTGAAGGCTTTGAGTACATAAAAATGATACATTTCTCCCAATCATAACATTCATTATTTTCAATCTGTAATATGCATATTTCATTTTTAAAAATACATGAAAATGCTCAAAATCCTTGATTACTCAGGAATTATGTGCAATGAATTTATGAGATAATGTTTTCAGGCTTGTCAATAAAGCCTAAACCCCTGCTGTGCTGAAGCTTATGTCATGTGCTGCACACACATTTTGGCACGAAAATATGACCTGGTTTTACCTTCCTATATTTAACTCTTATCAAATGGGTCGTTTATCCTATACTGAAAGCACTGAATGACCAAAAAGCAGCAACTGATAATATCATAATAAAATAGAGCTGCAGGTATTATTTAGATTGCTATTTAGAGCAAATAACAATCTGTAAGTAATAGAAGAGTCACATGGAGCACTGCTGCCTTGGGAGTAGCCTTTGGTTAAATGGATGTGCTCTTCCAGCTATGTGATTAGAGGTAAACATTTCAAAGTGCTAACAGCTATATTTCCGTTCTTCTTCAGTACCTTTCAAACACTTTTTCTAATTTCTGGTAGAAAACAAAACCCAGTAGCATGTCTGCTGAGCAGAGAATTTAAGCAGCTGAACATATTCCCCAAAATTGAATTGCAGATGATTAGCAGATAGAACTTGGCAATAGAATCACTGATGTGAGAGGGGAAATGTTTTCCAAGAAAGCAATATATTCGGGACAGGGAAGGAATTTAGTAGACACAGCAAGGATTATTTCATTTAAAGCCCACTGTATAGTTGCACATTATGTGTGATGTTCAGCTGGTATATCTAATTTGTGACCAACATTTCACCTATTGTATGGAAACTGCTTTGGCAGTTCCAGCTCTCCTCAGTCTTATGACCTCCCAGACATCAGGGATTCAGAGACCTCTCAGGTTTTGTATGCTGATAATTTTCCAGGGGAAGCAAAGCAGTAAAAGGAACAAGCTTCAAATTACATTAAAATACACCCAGAGCAGTGTCATATATCGGTATGTTTTACATCCAATCCTTATTTTAAAACTGCAAAGATATGCCTAATATACTAGACATTGAAAAGTAATTGTAGATGCAGTTTTGGCTCTCCCTTTATGTAGGACTCTCATTTTGATAAGAAGAGAGCCCTTTAACTTCCTATATCTCTTACTAGTGTATCTTATTTATAGTCTCTCTTTAGAATCCATGTCTGCAGTCACTTCTCTGTTTTCCTTTTCGTCAATCACACACAAATATTTGTGTTGCCTCAATGAAGGCAAGGCTTCGATAATTCTGTCTGATAAAGATTTCCTCTTCTCATTATGCTGCTTCTAAAATTCTAACAAACAAGAAATACTGTTATTTAGCTGGCTACCAAGCCCAAACACGTTTCAGTGCTTAAGCAAACACAGCTGGGAGCATGAAAACTGTAATGGAGAAAGAAAAATACAACTCTGATATAAATGAAGCTGTGTTTCTTGCACTCACCTTAAATTGCTACATATGAGTTAGTTAAACTCACAAAATCATATTTTTACACTGCCATTAGGCACATTTTTAGTCATGATGAACTTTTATAAATTTTCCATTGTTTTAACAGTTTTTTAAGAAATTATCTAATTTCTTAGAGTAGTTGTTTATATAAACTTGAATCTAAGCTTAGGTTGTCTGAAAACTGCAGCAAAATCTTGTTCTTTTAACATCAAATGACTTTGTGCTGCAGAGTTTAGCAGAAACGTGGATATAGTAAAAGGATTTAATAAAATGCACAGTATGCTTTGAAATGCTTGATATCATTGATGAGCATTTGCCAAGCTTTTTTAGGATTTCTTCATGAATTCTGGAATGGGGACTTGAGGTGGTTCCACATTAAAAACTCACTATGAACAACAGAGTTGGAAAGATACCTGAAACAGGAATTATTCTGTAAACTAGGGCTACTCCCCTTCTCATCCCACCAATAAAAGATAAGTGTGAATCCAGTTTTCTTCTTTTGAAAATGCAGAAATTAAAGTGTTACAGGAACACTGTATGAAGGAGGCACGTAGTATGCCAGCAAAAGAATAAGAGTGATTGAATGTACCTTGAAAAAAAACCCAATAATGTAGAGAATGATGAGTTGGAGATTTTGTATAAAGCAATTCTCACAAACTAGGTGTCAAGCAGCAGGTGCCCAGAAAGAAGTGATATTACACACTAGATAGTGGAAAAGCACACGTGCATATAATTTTTGTTTTCCTTTCAAAGCTTCTCTTTTATTCTTCCCCTGGTTTTTATTAAAACCTGAATCATGTGAATACTGCAAATAAGAAAATGTTGCAGAGTAATGTTGATTCAGTAACACTTTATGTGCTCATTAGCTGTGTACATTGTAATTGAACTCTCTTACGTGTGACAGCCACAGGAATGCCAAATGAATACATTATGATAAATACTGATATGCTGAATACCAAATTAATTGCTAGTAACTGAACGTTTTCCATTTTCCTATTGAAATTTTCCATGGCATTCAAATTTGGATTTTTTAAAAATAGGATTTGGAGCAGCGACATGAGAGGCTTATTGTATTACAATATAGAATATGATCAACTGGTGCTAAGTTATTCTCTGAGGCTTCATGACAATTTTGTTGACATTTTAAAAGGAGGAGAAGGTAAAGAAACTATTTTCCTAGAAACCAAAAATAAAGGAAGCATTATTCAGTTGCATCCCTTGTAAGATTCGCTAGACAGAAGTCCATGGACACTAAGCAGCCATCACAAGTTAAAATGGGGATAACTGCTAAAGCAATAAGTCATTTTTCATTTTGCAAACCATGGCTCTGGAGTGATGGGAAAACAGAAGTAAAGTAAAAAGTTTTATTGTTGTCATGCTTGGATTAAATGCTGCTTGAATAAACAAACAAAATATTCAAACTTTAAACACCAGCTTTGTTCTTTATTCAAGTAAGCAATGCTTCCACCAGGTTTCTTAGGCTTCAGGTAGTATTTATTTGCAGGGAGGAGTTGTCAATAATGCCACCTTGCATGCACAGTAATTTCTTTTATAAATGGCTGGACACGAATAAATGGAGCTACTCTGGGGAGTATTTCCAATGACTGAAGAGTTCAGCAACCACATCTCTGATGAAGAAAATATAAAAGTAAGACCACTTCTACTGTGGTTCTGGGGGCCAGAAAGTGCCTGGAGAATAAAAGGTTAACATATTATATGCTATGTGAAGTTATTTTTACTGTGTTTTCATGAGCTACACTAAATGTCTTGTGAATCACATGCCTGTGGACTAGTTGATCTCTTCTGGCATAGCTTGCATGAGCTTCAAGGAAAAGAATACAGATTTGCTCCTGAGAGCAGTAACACCAAGCTGTTACTCCTTCTCTTTTACTTATCTTGGAATTAAACATCTAAATTGGTATAAAAGATTATAGGGTTGGTCTGTTTACATTTAACACAAGAGTTTATAAAAATAAAACAATGTGAGAAAGAGTAAGCAGGTGGCTAGCTAGGTATTCCATGAGAAACTGCTACAAATTAAGAAGAAATTTGTGCTCCATAAATAACTGACTGACTGCAGAGAACAAGAATGCCACTCCTCATGGCAGCAGCTGAAATGTCTGGTGATAATGAGAGAGGAAAAAAACTACTGGGGTTCTCAGGCAGAAAGAATGAAAGGTCAGCCCTGGACACTTCTGTGCATTCCCCCTGCCTTCCCTTTCCCCTGCAGGAAATTTTCAGCCTCAGGGGTTGTTCTGGCATACAAAATACTGAGGTGTGTGGGGATGAAGGCAATTTTTGCCCGTTTTCTTTGACACTGGGTGAATTTTAACTGCAAATGAAAGAAAGCACTTTGTGTTTCAGCCTATGAGGTTTTCAAAGTACAACATTTCTCTCTTTTTGCCCTCACTTCTCTTGATATGCTGTCTGAATTGCATCTCTACCATGATATTACTTTGATAGTTTTTCTGCTTTTGTCATTCCCCTAACATATTAAACTCTCTCTGAGAGTTTTTCCATCATCCAAAATACTAATTTTCTGATGTTTTCTTTCTATGGCCAATGGAAAGCTATGAAAGACCTCATATTAGGTTATTTTCTCCAAAAAACTTAGGGACATAAGGTCCTTCAAATAAAGTTGAAAATCATTCAAGCAAGAACGTTCATGACAAAGGTGGGTCCAAGTGAGTCTTGGAATTCAGTGAGTAGGCCCAGATTAGGAAGTACTTGATGGCTGCACTTGGAGGTATTTTCCATCTTTTCTGGTCTTTTCCATCTTTTCTGGTTCCTGCCATCTTGCTAGCACAGAAGAAAATCAGTCTCATTAACTCCCTATGACAGCTACACAGTTCCATCAGATAACGCACATTTTTTACTACAGATTGCATCATTTTACACACAGCACAAAAGGAATTAGTCTGAGGGAGATGCAGTCTGAACAGCAACACAGAGGGACAGAGAGATGAGCAGATCCTACAGATTTGTTTTATAAAGTGGAAAAGGACTTGAGGTGCAAACACCTGTTCAAGGACACCAAAGCTGTCTGCTGCTGAGCCAAACCTCACCCTCCCCTGACCTTGTCCTGTGTCTTATGCTAAAATCACCACTCTTTACTTATGCCAAGTCCAG